GATCGTACAACGAGAATCGCGTGGATCATTTAAGGTACGAATTCGATATTATAGAAAAAATTTAAGATGAAGCTAATAATCTTTGGATTATTAATTTAAGTTTCCGCGAAATTTTTTGTGCAATAGAAAACTTGTTAGATATCATTAGGTTATTAGGTCGATTCGACAAATCAACAGAAGCACGTACTTGCATGTGTCATAGAACGTTTCAAACACGAGATATTATTAGAATTAGCTTCCTCTGTTGAAATTTTGCTTCTCGCGCTTCCTTTTTCCCACTTTCCTGCTATAAAATCGAATAAAATCTATATAATTTCTAGATTTCAGAATTCAATTTCAATTTTAAATATATATAATATATTTTATATTACATAATATTTGAAAATTTGAATATTAAATATGAATTAAATTTACATAAAATATATATTTTATAATATGGATGTATATGATTTAAAAAATTTGTTAAATATTGTATTGTTTAAATTTTTATAAATTAATATTCTAAACAACTGCATTAAAATATAATAAATATGATAAAAAAGTATAAATTATCAAGATTCATTAATGATTCGTTGATGATCACGAATGAAATGAAAAATAATGAGAGTAAAAAAGAAAAAAATAGAAATCACGATGAAAAAATAACGAAAAATCGTATCGAAATATTTTTAATGAAGATGCACAGTGTATATTTATTGAATGGCCCAGACGTTCGTACATTTAACGAATAAGCTCTTCCGTTTATGGCTCTCGAAGCAATTCGTGTGAGTAGAGATGCTGTTTGTTTGCAATTGTACATGCATCGAAGTACGGTTTGAACGCGCAGTCTACAGGAATCTTCGATAGTTACTACATAACCTATACATACATAGAATCGAGTTTTGCTTACATTTGAATAGTCTCGAGTATACACTTCTGCTGCTACCACGGTAAATCGAGGAAAACTTACAAACTGAGAGAAAGTTTATTTCGTTTCATTTTGCAAAACACGTAAAATAATTTCAAAATTGCGAGCACGTATCTTATCGCTCTAGTGATTTTTTAAATCTAGTGATTTTCTATTCCTTATTAATTCCTTATTAATATGTTCAATGAATTAATTACTTGTAAGTTGAAACGGAGCTAGAAAACCGTAAGCAACATGCCATCGATGAACGAAACGGTGAAACGCGGATGTTGCTCTCTCTTTTTCTCTTTCTCTTTCTCTAACAACCTCGATGCAACGAATAAAAGATATGAGAACGTTGCATTCTGCATTTCACACAACTCCTCACTGTCTTCTCATTTTATTTTCAGACACGATTACTTCTTTTTCTCAGTAAATTTTTTGGTAAGCAAGAATTTTCAACAAAGTATTAAATGACTTCTATAATATTCATTTCGCTTCGTCATTTATTTATTCTTTTCAACTATCTATTTCCCTCTCTCCATTCACCTTCTTTACGTCAGTGACGATTTTAGCGTCGTAGGCAATCATCAAATAGCTACGCAATAAAAACACAAGCCTACACGATAAAGCATTCCCTCTCCATTGAATTTTGAATATATATATATATATATATATAAAAAGTTGGCGCAATAAAATTGAATATCATAAATGTTTATCAAATAGATGTTGTAACATTGTAAAAATTATATTGATTCATACATATATTGATTCATTCATTTGACATCACTACCAATGCCAAATTCTTTTTACTTTTTTATTTAGATTCATTTCGTTGCTAGATTGCTTTCGTACTTTCTCTATTAGTACTCTTACATAATGTTGCGCTTCACCTATCTTACCTACGAGAGAATTATATACCATTACTCTAAATTGTGAATAGAAAGTATATATAATATATATATATATATATATCGTAGAAATTTGAAGTTTCATCAATGCGAATATTTTTCTTACTGTTTTATCATATTCGTGACAGGGACAATAGTCATTGAGCATGTAGCTTTATACGACTACTAAAGTAGGACAAACGTGTTCGTAAAATGACAACGAATAATATCAAATGGCTGTAATACTGCGCGCAAGATACATATGTATAAACGTGCATAAAATTTAATTTTCTCTTTCGTATAGTATGTATGTAACGTTGCACGCTATGATTATGCAACGTTTATAATTATACAAAATTTATTTATGTATGTGTTATTAAAACATCGTAAAATTTTTCGCACGAAAATTAATTTTTCACGGCGGTTGATTACAGGAAGTATGATACAACACGAGTACATCTTATTAATCGAAGGATATATATATATATATATAATTTTGTTAGAAGAATAAATTAAGTAATTGATTGACGTGTGCACAAAATCAGAGAAATGGAATCTAAATTCGATCTCACGGTATTCGAACCAAGAAATATCTTTGACACCTTTGATATGTATATATATATATATATATCTTCGGAAATACGGAGCTAGGCGAAATGGTGCTGTTACGATCCCATTTTCATGCTGATAAGATCGATTTATATATACATGTACATGCCGTGATATTATACAATCTACGTTTCAACGAAAGGTCGAATCAGTTCCTTCGAAAACGATCGCTTCTCTCGGTTGGAGGCAGATATCGATTCTCGACAGAGACGGCTCTTGGTCAGGGAATTTGAAATGCTTCTCTCGGTTATTTGGTCCGTCGATTTTGCATGCAAAACGTGTTTTCGCGTGACAGCCTCCACTGGATTACCATTGGATATAGGGCGACGATATCAAGGGATTTTATTCTTTGCAAAGCTATTGATTATTGCATTCTTCATATTCGCTACATTTTTGCATAATGTAATTTCTTTTCTCTCTCTCGAATTTTTCACTTTCCATCTTTTCTTAATTTAAACTCTAATCTATAACAAATATTATGTTATTTAAATCCTAACCTATACTAATTTTTTCGATGAAAAAAACATTGGGATTAAATGGAAAAGACTGTTAAAACTATTTTATATCGTAATAAAATAAATTGATATATTTACAAGAAGAAAAAAAAAAGAAGAAAAGAAATAAAAGATGGTATTATAGTCGAGAAGGGAGAAGAGAAGATGCATTAAGCGTGATTTGTCATATTACGATAAAGCTTGGGTGAAGGGAGATCTACCCTAATTACAGTATTTATGAAAGCACTGTGAAAGCTCTATAATACTCCAAAAAATGGAGTATTATAATTACCCAGATTTCATGTTTTCAAGTAAAAAACATGTAATTTGTTCGTTCGATGATTATAAATGGTATATACAGCGAAAGAACGTGTCTCGTATATCGTATCTTTTTATTTCATACGTATCTCTCTTTTTTTTATATCGATTTGAGTATGACGTATGAGTCGAAGATCGATCTATAGAAAAATAAAATACAGATATATAAATATCGATATATAAAATCTCCAAATATCTTTATTACTCCATACAATTGAATTTTTATTTCTATGATTTTCTATATGATGAAACATATTGAATGTATCGTTTAATTCAGTAAACAATGTAGTAGGAGGGGAATAATTAGATCATTTCGAGCGTGATAAATCTCGTTCAATATCGAAACAACAACGATATCCCGAAACGATTTTATCTATCTAATCCCAATTTATCGTTATTTAAATAAAACTGATCGTTAAGTAAATCCAAAAGATTTTGCATTGTAAATTTTCGTAACGAATAACTTTAAAGGTTAATCACGATACAAAGCATTGAGAGAGAGGGAGAGAGCGCGAAGGGTAAAATCTTGGTGGTGCGACGAGAAGTGCAAGGGGTTGAGTTGGCGAACAGACGAATACAACATAGACGGATAGATGGATAAAGATGAGCATACGCTTCGAGGCTGGTCTCGTAAAATATGCAAGCTGCAATCACGTCTCTTGAATAGAAAAGGTCAGGAACAGAGTGAAGAAGAAGGAAAAGTCGCGTAAGGGATAGCGAATAGAAGGAAGAGAGCAGATTGAGTGGTAGGGTGGGGGGATGCGGCTTGAGAGAGAGAGAGAGAAGAAGGGAGGAATAGAGAGAGAGAGAGAGAGAGAGAGANGAGAGAGAGAGAGAGAGAGAGAGAGAGAGAGAGAGGGTGGATAGAGAAGTTGCGAAGTGAAGGGGGGAAGGGGAAAGTGGAAAGAATAGTGAGTGGGGGGATGATAGCAACGTTGAGTGTAGAAGTAGAATCGTGGACCGAGACAGATACTACTGGCAGGAAGAAAAGGGTTCTGAGAGAGGAGACGAAAAAGAGAAGGAGAGAAAGCTGAAAAAGAGAAGAGGGAAAAGCGGGTACCCTCTGCGCGTTTTGAAGAGCAGCGGTCGTAATACTGCTGAAACTGCGAGTCCCTCTTCTTTCTGCTACGTTCGCGAAAAATTTTCATAACTAACCGATCTAGCGTTGTGAATTTCTGTTTCTTCTTTTTTGCTATTTTTATGATATAATTAAGACATATGGAATAGATTTGATGGCGTACATAATCAACTTTAGATTTATTTATCTAATGATCTACGCGTAACATTTATTAGCATATATAAACAATTTGTCTACTAAAAATTTAAATATAAATGTAAACATAAATTATAACATAAAATATTACGTATATGAAATATATTTAATTATTAAAATTAATTAAACATTACAATTTAATGGCAGTAATTAATATAAATATTTATGCATTTTATATACAATACATGTATACATACATGTTACATGCATGCGCGAACTATAACTGCCTTATTATATACATATTTATATAATAATACAACAACAATTTTATATATATATATAAATGAAATATATAATCTTATCTGCAAATGTAATATTATTTTTATGTATTGGATCTATCAATCAGATCCACAATCTTTTTTAATTTCTCGTGGATACAATACATAATTAAATACATAATTAAATAATAAAAATATAGATAAACAAACATAATATAATGCGATCTCATACCATCAAAGATATTTGAATTGTAAAACACGAGATGTTAATCTGCAAGAAGCAATCAATTACTTACTTTAGTTCTTTTTCACTTCGCAGCAAGCTAGACCAATTCAGAAAATATTTTGTTTGTTCCAGGTCGGGGGCGATCAATGCCCGATGGCGTGGACTGGAACGCAACGTTGGAGAAATCCTGCTCCAGAGTAAGTAGAACTCTTTATAAAAGAAAATATAGAAATATCGTTTATCGTGCCCTTTTACTTTCCTCGTTGTTCAATAAATCAAAATAAGCATGGTATAGCCAATTGAGTCCGAGAAGAAAGAATATTGGGAGAGAAGGAATCGGGAAAAAAGTCAAAGTATCGGCTTGACATCGACATTGGCCTTCGATCGATTCGAAACGCGCAGAGAAATCCGGATGGTAAAGTGGAGGCAGTAATAGGCGAGTTCTTTCGACTGCGAAATCAATATGTATATACTCTTTTACTCTCGAATATTCTACCCACCTTTCAATCTCGATGAATAAGACAGAAGGTTCTTGTCTTCGAGTTCGGACATCTTTGATCAGTCTCGATTGGATGCTTCGTCGTGATTCTAATTATGATTGATCGAGAAGCGAATCTAAAAAAATTTCATATCGTTATTTCCTTTTAGAATCGATGCAAAAATATTAAAATATTTTTAGTTGTCACGTTAAAAAATAATCAAATTTACTTTGAATCATTTACGTTTTCATTCTCTCTATTCATCTGGTTTATTTTTATTTTATTACTTCGATCAAAGAAAAAGAAAAGGAAAAAAGGATCGAAAAAGATGAAAAAATCGCGGTAGAGTCGAGAATGTCTTCCTCTCCTCTCATAATTCGATTGATAGACGGCGCAACCGGGCGGATTAATTATCAGTTATTGGTGCTACTGCTGTTGATGATGGAAAAGAAATGAAAATGAGAATAGAAGCGGGATTGAGCAGTGGGTATGAGGAACAGAGTGAAGGAGAGTAGCTGTATCGGTAGCAGACCAATTAACTAGTTATAGGGCAGCTTTCATCAGCTCGACAATCGACCGGATCGATTCGGGGTGAATAACTTTTCTAGTCGAGTTTCTACCGATATTGCGTAGAATCTATGACCGAGATGGATACGCACCGTCCGTTTCCGCTTGTTAAGCTCCTTTCATACTCGGTCGGTTACTAGTCGGTCTTGTAAATCGGGTCTACCATTTATTGATTCGCAAGGTATTCTCTAGCTCGGATAAATAGAGAAACAGAAGAGAAAGATGGAAAAAGAAGCAAACAGGAAGGGACGGATGTGAAAGAGAAGAAGGAGAGGTAGAAAGGATAGGTAGTCTTTGATTCTGAATCCGTCGGCTGGAAGGAATGTATTCTTGTAAGAAAAAAAATGCTATTGATATTATGCATTTGTTTTCTTCTCATTATAATAGGTAACAATCGGTAATTGCACGATTTAATCGAATCGTTTGAGAACACAGACTGCGAGATATCATGTCTCGATGTTAAAGATCTTGTATTCTTTACCTGGTCATATTGAATTTCATTTTCAAGTCGAAAGGATTTATGTATATCGCCAATGTTTTAATGCAATACGTTGCGACTGGAAAGGCATCGTATATTGAGCGAGTTCAACGCCCTCTGGAAGTACACGAAGGTACTTACGTAGAGCCGATGTCACTTTATTCGATAATTGACAGCACTGAAAATCCTGTCAGACGTTAGCAATTGCATTATCTTGGAAGCTTCACAGTTAATGTTACGTCCATCCTCGGAACTCGTATATCCTTCCCAGTAGTACAGTATTACGTAATTAGGTGTAGACGACAAGGACTCTCCCAAGAGTAGCTAACCTATAATGTTCCGTGATACTTTGTCTTTGAAATTAATCGCTTTGAAATGAAACGGATTGGTATACGTTTCAACATTTCATGTATTCGGATACTTAGCGATTTAGAAACATGAAATACGTTTTAAAGACGTGGAAATATAAAAAGTTATAGTAAAAGTTAGGTTATGCTTGTAAATCCTCGAGGTCTAGCCACCGAATAATTCGATGGAAAGTTTCAAAGTTAGGTTTGGATGTGATTAAGTCATTAGCCAGCGCGTTAAAGTGGATGCCGGAAGGGTTGCGATCTTATTACATCAGATGAATTAATCGAAAATTATTTCGCTCGAGAAGTATTGATCCCAGTCTAGATTTATATGAAGATCATGATACATAAACATATAATTATTTTAATTATTTTTTTAAAGATAATTTTAAAATATTATCAAGTAATGTTACATTGCTAACATGATACTTTCGTTTTATTTTAGAATGAAATCTATATTCTTTTCATAATTTTGTAAATTTAAAAAATATTTTTATCATAAGATTAATCAGAATATATTTCATAGAATATATTTACAATCTATTTTTAAAAAGTTTTTTTTTTTGAAACTATTTTTTCACTATATACATCAGAAATCCATAAAAAATAAGCTATATCGTCTTTTCCCTTATGATCTTCATGTACAAAATACAGATTAAAAATTAATCCATGAATACATGGTTCTTTTAGTGCGAACAATTTTCAATCTACGATTTCGATCGAATCGTTATTTTTCATTTCTCGCCGACTTGTGCAGAATAAAAAAAAAAAAGAACTTCATAATTGAAATAGACTTTATCGCGATTTAAGTTTATACCGTATACGTTGCATGTTATATTCACAACGCGATTATGAGCTATAGTTCTCTCCCGAGACAATATGCTGAATCAAATGGTAATTGCAGACACTGATGTAACGATTAGTAATAAACCAAGGTATGACCGACACACCCATACCCCACCCATACCCATATACTCGCGAAGAACCGCACATCCATCGCGCATCCTTTTAATCGATCGATATGGCGATTTAGGTCGATGAACCTGCTATCGTTCTACTCTATTAGTTTAGTTTTCAAATGGAGTGTATCGGTACTTAAACTCGTGCTGGTATTCGTGACAAAACTGTATCGAGTTCACTTTGATAAATGGGTCGTTTCTCTTGAGTTAAATGTCTCTATGGTTACAATACGTGTAAAGCAACACATCTTCGATTCGAATGATAAACAATAATTTTATTATTAATTATAACACAATCATGATCGCGTGTATTTTGTTTCGTTTGTGACGCATAATTTATATATATATATATATAATTATATAACTTTCCAACCAATCATCAATGTCACAAGTATGTATACACGTATGTGCGTACGTACATGCGCATTTACGATTATTGCGCGCATTGCCACGTTCGCTTCTATATCCTATATATTCTATGGATGTGCTATATACATATACATGTAGATAGGTGCGCGACGCAGGACACGCGTATCGACCACTGACCCATATCCGAAAACGGCTGCGCCGCTCGATACTCATCGATTCGTTGAATTAAATGAAACAATGTTTTTGCGAACAATAGCTTCTCCCTTTTCGTCATCTGCTTCCTTTTTCTTTGCTTTCACCAGAGGCGAAGTTACATAGATACGTAAATATAGATTCTGTACGCGTTCATTTAGAACGCGTTATCCTTTCTCTAAGAAGTAAATGAAAGATGTATTGGAGGCAGGAAACTCGCTGATAATCATGCTACTTCTTTATCTCTTCTCTCCTTTTTTTAGTGTCTGATCATATGTTTCTTCGGTTAATTTCGAAGATTGTTACTTCGAATGAAACATTCAAAATATACGGATATCCGCGCGTTCGATTTTATTATTTCGCGTATTGATACTTTTCTTTTCGTTTAGTTTCGACTAATATATCTTGGTAAGTTGATATGGCTAAAAGTCGATCAGTTCTGATTGACCGATAAAAAAAGAAAATCTCGAAGGGCAATCGATTCTTACCAAAGTTAATCGAAAATAACTGAAAGGTTCTGGAATCGAAATTCTCGATTATTTCATTAGTTCGAAGGGTTCAAGAGGCATGAGAATATCTATCAGAATTGGAATAATAATTTCTTGTTCAACTAATTTGTATTCTCTTTGGATACGAACTCAAAGAGTAAAATAATTTTTCTTCGGTTGTATTCATTCAAATATACAGAATGTAAGATTAAACAATAAAGCAGAATATTAATCAGAAAAGTTAATGATACGAAAGACACGCCGAATTTCACATCAAGTTGAATTTTTCATTGTTGGAAAAGAAAATGATTGTCACCTAGTATGTAAACAACTCTAATTGGAAGGTAATCCAGGAACGAGCTCTCTTCGTAAATTGAGGTGCTTTTTCCATGGAATTTCTAGCAATTGAAAGAGAAGAGGAAAAAAGAGGAAAAGAGGAAAAAGCGACGCGATACGACGTTTACCTAATATCTCGTTCAGCTTTGAGTAATTTTACTGTTTGCGAAGACAATTTCATCGGTTGAAAGCTGATTAGAAAATTTTCTCTATTGCTTTCTCGTAGCTCTGCTAATGAGCAGATTCGAGTTATCGAATTTCTTTTGCACTTTTTGTGTTCCGATTGAAAGAGTTTTATTCAATTTCAACGTAACAGTGTTTAATTAGTGGGAATATAAGAGCATTGATACTCAAAATATAGTCATGTGATGTCTATAATTGAAAATTAAATAAACAAAATTAAAATTATTTGGAAAACAATTTTTTAATAAATCAATATATTATCTATCTCTTGATATATTAAGGCAAATGTTTCATATATAATATAAATATAATAGATTTATATAAATGTTCAGAATTAATTATAAAAATAATTAAATATACCTGATATTTTTACCTAATAAAAGAGAATATAACAAAGAAAATAATTTTACAAAAAAAATATAAATTTATATAAGTTTATATAAGTAATATGTTAATGAGAATTATTTTAATAGATCATTTAAATTTTCAGTCTATCAGGAGAAGGAGGATAAATATTATAAATAAATAATAATTAATATTAATTTTACTCATTTATTAATTCATTATTAATTTATACATATTTGATTAGAATTTAAGTTTTAAAATTTGCTGTTATAACAAATTGACCAAAGAATGTTTTATATACTCATGAACAATAGTATAAATACGTTTGAATTCAGGAGTATTGATCTCAAACACGATTTAATCGTGATCACTGTTACCATCAGAATGGTTATCCGTGAAAGTTGTTTAGATAGTTCGGTCTAACATTTTTCATTGAATTTATATCAATTTATATAAATAAGATCATATACGTGCACGCTTTATGCCAAGTTGAAACCAAGTGATACGATTATCTTTATATTTTTTCATATCTCAAATAGAGAGAAATCAACTAAAACAGAATCCATAAGCAGGTGCATAATATTAGTCGTATAAATATGAAGAAAGAAAGGAATATCGAATGTCTAAACCAGCTTGGCGTTCTTTGAACCGCAGAAAGTAGACAAGATTATTTTACAAGCGAAATTCGAAGCTCTGTGGCGAAGATAACGATCGATGAAAATTTGCTATTGTGAAAAGTAATAAAATGAGATAACACAAGATACAAATTTGTCGCGATAGCATAAAATTTACAATTCATTGATGAAAGAGAACGATCTGAAATTTGTAATCGTTATACCAATGATTGGAACGTTGGAATGATTCTTCGACGAGAAAGGAAGAAAGAAAAAAAAAGAAAAGAGAATATTCCTGATTTTTATTCCAACAACTTTCGAATAATTATGATCTTGAATTATGAATCAAACGTTAACGAATCTGATGATGACGAAGTGCTGCTGTGCTTCGTACTGTAATGTTGAAAAGCCGAATAAGAAAGTAAAAGAAAAATGAAGAGGGAAAGATGGGGAAAGAGGAAAATGGTCTTTTTTCTATCATTAAAAAAATTTCTCTTTGGATAAACTTTCGAAAAACGGTTTTTCTCAAATTCCTTCGCTCTCTTATTTAATCAATTATTTTTTATCTTCTTTACATAATATTATTTTTTTATTTGCACAAATCTCTTGATGAATAAATAAATTGAATCGTTCTCTCTTAACAATGCAGTTATATCGCAATTATAATGACTTACCACGAACAAACGATAGAAATGAGGAAGCGAAGAGGAAAAAGAATCGAAAGAAGTGGTTGTCATATTGCAATTACGAGACAGTTTTTCTATCTGTAATAATTATTATATGCCATTGTGTAAGAGAAGATGCGAGATAACCCGCACACGTTCGAAGACATAATAAAAGTTAAACAAGTATCAAAGAGGTGGTCAAGAAATTGTTGTCTGAGTCCTCTTTCAACGAAACGTGAAACGACGACCATATATATATTCTCGATGAAAGAGAGAACAAATGGATCAATGATTAGTTGGAATAATAAGCGAGTTTTTTCCTCCCATCCCATTCATCTCGACGACAAAGTTGTCTCTCGATGGTTGTATTTCCACGGTAATTAACAATCGCGATTACCACTAACCAAAGACCGCATTGCGTCAGTACGCGCGAGTAGGTTTATCGGTACCGCCTTGCAATTTTCCTCGCCAACCATCCCTCGTTTCCTCGCTACTCTTGCTATTTCTCTCACCACCCACCATCTGATACTCCTCTTTGCTCCCCCTGACCTCTACGCGTCCTTTCCTCCCTATCCGACCCCTCTTACCTTTCTCTCCCTTTTCCGCTTCATCCTTTCCCTTCTCTTATTTGGCGCCGACCTCCTCAATCTCGACGTTATATTTTCTGCCATTACTATCACCACTAGTATCGACATGCACAGTAATGTTTCTGTCATCCTTCCAATCTTCTGATATTTTTTGATAGTCATTCAATACGAGACACTCCGTATTAAGTTTGATTCAATGTATATTTGATCATTCAAATGGATTCACATCGAATATTATAAGTTATAATCGAAACGTATTCGTTTTCTGATTGAAAATCTTTAATCAAATAACCTGTATATGTTATGTGTTGCTCAGAGATTCCTTTATAAGGAATGAGAGATCTGATTGGATATTTCTGATAGATCGAATACGATTATAAAAATGGAAACGTTTATTGGCCGAAAATAAGATCGAATAACATCGCTTCCCTTCCTTTTATACCGTTCCTACTGCCATCTTCTCAGTTCCCTAGAGTACTATACTTGCTGGGGAGAAGCCCTCAATAAGAAATGCGGTTGTTTGATTGGTTATTTCTAATATGTATATCGAATAAAATCATAAAGATACGAGTGCCTATTGGTAGAAAATTTCACATATATACAAATAAAATTTTAACGTAAGATATTTCAACTAAACAAAAAGTTCAAACTAACATTAATATAAAAAAGTATATTATTATCATTATCGCATAATTTATTTCATCTTCTATCTAATATTCGTTATTCTTGTACCATCCAAGAGAATTTCATCTCACTATATAGTATATAACGAAATAATAAAATCGAGCAATCTAAAAGAGAAGAAATTATACTATGTTTGACAAGAGAAAGTAAACAGATCTTATGCATGATCTCTATAGAATCGAACGATACGTTTGTTCCAGAGGTGACGATGTACAACGATCGATCGAGCTGCTGGACAAAGTGCTCTCAGAGTACGACGAGCACGAAGCAGAGGGCGAAGGTGGTGGAGGCGTCGGCGTCGGCGTCGGCAGTGGCGGTGGCGGCGGCGGTGACGGTAGTGGAGGTGGGAGCGGCGGAGGTGTTGGGGATTGTGGCAGCAGCACCGAACCAAGTATTGGTCTCACACCTGACGACGAAAGTCCGTCCTTAGGTATCTTTTATCCCTTTTTCGTTTTTTTTTTCCTTTCTTCCCTTTCCATTCTCCTTCACGCCATCTTCCGTTTTATTTCTTCCTTTCATCTCTATGACCTTCGCGATAATATTGATATTCTGTTTATTTTTTTATTTTTTTATTTTTTCTACTTCTTTCATCCATTCCTTCTCTTTTCATCCATTTTCCGTATATCATTTATGTTCATCTTGTCACACGATCAAGCTTGATGATATTGATCGAAAATTAATATTGGATTGGTGCATATGAAATGTAATTTTTTAAAAATAAAATTATTTTAACTATAATTATATTAATTACTTTAACTATATATTTAATTATATATCTCTAAAGTATCAATATATTTAAAGTTATTATATATATTTAATTGAAGAGTCTTTTTTTTTAAATAATTTATTGATCATTGATTAAAAAATTATTCATTTTGTAGATGTAGATCAATTAAAAGATGATTTTAAATTCATATATGGAAATCATAAATATTATGATAAATTTTATTAAATATATGTAGTTTTCAGAATATGCTATTTATTATAAATTTCTTTTTGCTTAATAGAATAGATAGATAATTAAAAAAAAAAATTAAATAATAACTCATTGAATTCAAATTTTAAAAAAATACAATTTTATGTGCATTATCTAATATTATCTTTTTAGAATTTTTTTCTAATTCTAAAATGACTTCTTCGTATAATATAGACAAAATGAATAATATATGTTTAAAAAATATAAGAACTATCCAAGAAATATAAAATAAAAATCAACAATTTCATCAAATTAGGAAGAATATAAATAAAAATTTATTAGAAATTTTATTTTAAAATTTTATTTTAAAATTTGAACATTCTTCGAGAAAAAAACTAAAACGATCATGTAACGAGTATTTGTATAACATGAAGGAACGGAAATTCGATCTTTTTGAAAAAAAAATGAAAATGGTTCGAGATTAATGGATAATATGGAAGAAGAAAATTCGATCGAAGTAGAAGGTGTTTGCAGGGAAGAACGATAATGGTAATCTATCGAAATACGTATCCGAAAGATATGTATCCTTTCGATCGCGATAAAGATAAAATTTATAAGAATACACGCTCTCTTGACAGGACATCAATCCGAGGACGACGGTTACATGAGTATGAATGGACGGAAAGCGAAGATGGCTCTGGTAGCACTACGTCCGGTTCCAGATTGTCCAGAGCCACAGGATCTTGCGGGTATATCTACCCAAGAATTTCCACCACCGCCGGAAGAAGCCGAACGAATCATTTCTACTTTGTTGCCCATGTAAGTTCACTATTTCTGTTTCTAACTGTTGAAATTGTATTAAATTATTTTTAAAGAAAGTATTAATTCTTTGATCAATTTCTTTCAATTAATTAATAGGTACAATACAGGTAATCGATTCTGGATCATTTGTGACTTATGCTACTGTATAAAGTATTAATATAATATTAATAAACGTCCTTTAAAGGACCGATAGACACTAAGTCAAGCATAAAAATCGTTGCAAGAATGTCAATTAAGACTTATTTATTAAATTATGAACAATTTAATTTTGCAATAGATAATACAAAAAATAAAAAAAGATAAATCTTTTCTTTCTTTTATTGTTTAATTATTCTTTTATTGATTTTGGATTGATTATCCTTCAACTATTCCAGAGATAATCATATTTTATACTATTTAAACTATTAAAGATAAAGGTCAGATAAGTATTAATGGATGTAACAATATAACGTTTCTGTATAGCATATTAAGCATAGAAACGTGACATTCATATCCTCGACAGTAATAGACATGCTATAAACTCTCGGTATATATGCAATTAGTGAGCATCAGAACCGTTTTTTTTTTTTTTAATATCTGTTCATTGATCAAGCTCGATTCCGTAGAATTTTTAAAAACGATTGCTCTACATAATTCATTAAAAACAATATTAATTTTGTTTGTATGGAAACAATATACAATAGTCATTACATATATCAATCAAAGTATATTTAAAAACGGAAAATCTAATATTTAATATTAATAATAATTGAATAACAAAATAAAAATTCTCTTCTTTTCTCTTTTATTATTTTTATTATTTTTTCTTTTTTGTTTTTACGAAAATCAAACATATCATACGATTTCTTAGAATGTACTTTCTGATCCAAATTATAATCTATTTATTTTATGTTATGCAAATTTGCTAACATAAAGTCAAATATAGTTTATTATGAAATATAATGTTATTAAAATACAATCGCTCAAGTTTTTTCATTCATCAATTGCAAAAATTAACACAAATTTTTATACAAATTCTAATGCAAATTAAATTCATTGCATGTAACCATAGGGTATCGCCTGGAAATTCTTCAAAACGAAACGGCCATCCATCAACTCGTCGAAGCGGACGACAACAGTGGATGATAGCTATGGAGGATAGTATACGACACGGAAACGGTACTGTTACCACTCAAACAACTCTCGTGAGTATCTAACGAGCATTTTCGATCGTACAAATTCGATCAAAATAATATGAAATTCGACCATTTTTATATATATAATAGTGCCTGAATATGACTCTATGATATGTTACTCTTACAATTTCTTATTATTAATGACTCAAATCAAAATCACAAGATAAAATTACCATTTTATATCCTTTATAAGATTCGAATCAAATTGAATGAACATTTAAATTAATTTTTTTTTAAACGAACAACTTTTTGTTTTTCGTATCTATCATTGATACATGTACTGCAGAATCAGATAAAATTGTCCAATATCTAAAAATACATTATATTTTTCTAATATATATGCCATAATCATTAATACCAAAAGATATTGGATTTTATGGAATAATCGATGTATCCAAATTACTGTATAGCTTTTGATCTATTTCGTTTTTATTATTTTAAAGATCAAGACAAAAATTTATCTTAATATGGATGAATTATATTTTTTCGCAGCCTAAAACTCGACACCAGAGACCATATGGATGGGAAAATGGTAATGGTGAGCCATTAAAATTAGCTCAACCTCCAAGTCCACCAAGTAAATTCGCCAGCTTACCATACGATGGTAAAGTGTCGTTCGGTTGGATCCCACCTCGAACCAATCCAACGACCATAGAGAAGCATCGCGAGGTCAGACGTCGATCTTCCGAGGAAGAGGGACTAGAAGGGAATAACAAAAACCATCGACAGAATTTTGAGAAGGATCGAACGTCGCATTTGCGAAAACAACGTCAAAACAATGAAATTATGAAATCGAGCAGTGTAGAGGATCGATTGTTGATGAATCACGAACAATCGGAACAAAACGGTCGTAGAAGGAACGATTCTGATTCGAGTGAAGGAAGATTCTCGAGAAACTCCGAATCCGAGAGATCCTCGATCCCACGCTCGAGTTCGGTCAGTGTCGAAAGATTTTCCATGAGAGCGACATGCGGATCCTCCGATTTTTCAAGGGCGAACTCGATCTCGAACGAGAGATTCCATTCTTCAGATTTCTCGATAGCCGTGGCCAGTGCCAGCTCGAATGATCGTGTTTCCGTGCCGACATCCGAACCTTTTTCAATTCGAAACCTCGACTTTGTTTCGTTTTCTTTACCGACGAGAACCGATTCTAATGAAAGATTCTCGGCCCCAACCTCTGACAGATGTTCCGAAGAGCGTTATTCCGACATGTTCTCCACCAGAAACTCGGATTTCTCGACCAGAAACTCGACGGATTTTAGAACTCAATCCGAAGAGGAACGGTTTTCCGATGATTCATTGGAAGAACTTTTACCTCCTCCTCCTCCGATCAGCAAGAGGCATTCCATCGCTTGGGAAGTACCTCTGGAAGATGATCCTTTATACGCTCCAGGAAGTACCAAAGTGATCGGTAGGAGACGGCGTAAGAGCAGCGATGTGTCCAGTAAGTTATTCTTTTCAAACTTCAAATTTGTTTTTGGTACAACAAACAGGAATTTTCAATCAGTTATCTTGAAAAAATTAGTTTTGAGTTTTATTTATATTAGTAAGTTATTGTCCTTTATATGTAACGTATAGTGAATATTATTGATTAAATTTTCAGG